CTAGAATTTTAGTCCTTGGTATGGTACCCACATCTACAAGTGACGAAAATGTCAAGCTAGATGGAAAGATTCACATTATCATCAAATCCTTAGTGGTGTTAGAGACAGAGGAAGAACTGGATCATATATGTCTTCTCTTTCCCTACCACTTTCCGGAGGCAAATTTGATGCTACTGCACAAGGAAACTCAGGAGCCATTATTCATCCAGACCTTGGCCAAGATGGTCTTGGGTCTCACTAATTCAGTTTATTGGCCAATGAAGATGGGCTATCGGAATTGCCATGGGGCGGCCAAGCTTGACTTTCATCGACATCTTATGGATATAAAGAATCAGCATTCTCCATCAATGATGCTTATCTTGGAAACAAAAATTACTGGTGAAGTTGCTTGGGATGCTATCGCAAATTGTGGGTTTTCTCGCTCACATGTTGTTGATTTTGATGAACGTGCAAGTGGGTTGTGGTTGCTATGAAATGATGAAAAGGTCTACATTGATATTATTACGTCTATTCCCTAAGCAATCCATGCATTGTTAAGGTATGTTCCCACCTTATCTTTTCTAAATTTCATTGGTTCTTTTCTAGTGTATATGGCAGGCCCCAATTTGAACTTCATACACAATTATGGGATGAATTGCGTGAGGTTACACGATACTTTACAGGGCCTTAGCTAGTGATTGGTGACTTTAATGATGTTCTTGATCAAACTAAAAAATTTGGAAGTGCTTCTGTTAGCCAACCTAGGATCAAAGCCTACTCAGAGTGTATGAATGAATGTAACCTAATGGATCTTGGGTATATTGGGGGTAGATTCACTTGGGTTAATATGAGGGAGAACAACCAGATTATTTGAGAACGGTTAGATCGAGCTTGGTTCAATCCAAAGTGGCACACTATTTTTTTCAAACTTATATTCTCCATCTCCCTCGTATTAGCTTAGATCATAACCGCTTACTCTTGCAATTTGATCCTCATGTTTCTAGGACTGGAGATAGGCCTTTTAGTTGGAGAAATTTTGGCTTGATCATCATGATTTCCAAAATGTTATTAACCCTATCTAGTTCCAACCTAATTCTTGTACCTATCAATGTATTATATATACTCAAAATATCTGCAAGAATTGGACTAAAGCAAACCTTGACAACATCTTCTCCAAAAAAAAGAGAGATTAATGCTAGATTGCAAGGCATCCAATGGGCTCTCTCTGATCATCATTTTAATTTTCTTGTTGATCTTGAGAAACAACTTATTAGAGAATATCAAACTACTCTCAAGTTGGAAGAGGATTTGTGGTTTATGAAATCTCGCTTTAATTAGATTCTTGATGGAGATAAGAATTCCAAATTCTTTCATCTGTCTACCACCAAGCACCAAAACCACAATCGTATCCATTGTCATCGCAACTCCAATGAGGAATGGATTACTAATCCCAAGGGCATTGCTAATATGATTAGGAATCATTTTACGCATCTTTTCTTGTCCTCTCTGGAGCATTCCTTTCATGATTCCTTTAATAATTTAAAGGTAGATTCTTTTAGTTCAATTGATATTTCTTATTTAGATGGTATCTCGAATGATCAAGAGATCAGAGTTGCCCTTTTTTGCCTTAAGCCTGTTAAAGCTCTTGGCCCTTATGGACTGCATCTTGCTTTCTTTCAAAAATTGTGGGATTCAATCAAAGAGGTTATTTGTACTGATATTAAACAGGCATTTTCCTTGATACACTATTAGAAAATATGATTTTTTCGAAGAGAACATTTCAGTCAAGCAAAAATTTTGACCGAAAAAAGACTTAATTCGGTCAAAAATTTTGACCGAAATATACTTTAGTTCGATTAAAAAATATTTAACACAATAATTCGATCTAAAATTATTTCGGTCAAATATATTGACCGAAATAAAAGAGCGCCAATTGGCGCTACCGTTAATTCAGTTAAGTATTTTATCCGAGTTATATTAACAATAAAATAATAAACATATTGTTCAAAAATTTTGACCGAATTAATTAAGTAATATTTGTTCTAATTTAGTTATATTTTTCAGTCAAAAATTTTGACCGAAATAATAGTCTCCTTTTTTTAAAAAAAAAATTGTACTAATATGATGCTTTCTTTTTAAAATTTTGTTTAATTTTCCATAAAACAATTTCGGTCAAGCATTTTGACCGAAATAATTGTCTCATTTTTTTAAAATTCTATTGGTATGATGCTTTCTTTTTGTAAATTTTTTAAATTTTTTATAAAACTATTTTGGTCAAGAAACTTGACCGAAATAATTGTCTTCCTTTTTTAAAAAAAAATTTCTATAGAAAATTACTGTGACGCTTTCTTTCCTAAATTTTTTTAATTTTCTATGATATTATTTCGGTCAATATGCTTGACCGAAATAAATCTCTCCTTTTTTT